TGGTTCAGACCCTGGGTCTGTGTTGCAGCAGGCTGGCGTGTCTGGCTCAACCAGGCAGGGTTCTGAAGTCCCAAGCTGGCAGGGAAAACGGGCTCAGAGGTAACTTCAGCACGTCAGGTGACGGTCCTAAGGGGGTCTCTGTGACCGAACTTGTCACAGGGTTTGGGGTGAAGGAGGAAGCTCCGGGCTGGGGCAGGGGTTGGGGCGAAGGAGGAGGCTCCGGGCTGGGGCAGGGGGTTGGGGCGAAGGAGGAGGCTCCGGGCTGGGGCAGGGGGTTGGGGTGTGGGGAGGGGTGAGGGCTCTAGCTGGGGATGTTGGCTCTGGGGTGGGGCCAGAGATGAGGGGTTTGGGGTGCAGGAGGGGGCTCCGGGCTGGGATGGGGGTTGGGGTGCAGGAGGGGCTGTAGGCTCCAGGATGGGGCAGGGGGTTGGGGTCCCGTCAGCACTTACCACGGCTCCCGGAAGCGGCCATCAGGTCCCTGCAGCCCCTGGGCACTCGGGCGGCCAGGGAGGCTCCTTGTGCTGCCCCCGTGCCCACAGGCGTCGCCCGCGTAGCTCCCTGTTCCCGTCGCGGTTCCCGGCCAATAGGAGCTGCAGAGCCGGCACTGGGGATGGGGGCCGCACGCGGAGCCTCCCTGGCTGCCTGGGCGCCTTGGAGCTGCAGGGACCTGGTGGCCGCTTCCAGGAGCCGCAGGGAGCAAGTCTTAGCCCCGCTGCCCGGATTATTAACGCCCCGATCGGCAGTGAACACCGGACCCCTAGCAGCTCTAGGGCAGAGACAGCCTGGGACCCCCACGTCCCCCCTGCAGCACTGGGGGGGCAGAGCCTGGCACCCCAGAAATCTTCCCCCATTCATGTGCAAAACCCCCCGTGTGCACAGTCATGCAGGTTCCCCCGGGATCCCCTCCCCCGCCGTACCGGTGAAGACGGTGGCGCGGCGCTGCAGGGGAGGGTAGCGGTCCAGCAGGGGGGTGAGGATGCCCTGCATGTTGCCCAGCATGGTGCTCAATCCCAGGTTCAGCAGCATGAGGAAGAAGAGGACGGACCAGAACGGGGAGGCCGGGAACAGGGTCATGGCCTCCGTGAAGGTGATGAAGGCCAGGCCGGTGCCCTCCACGCCCTGCGGGGGAGAGATGGAGACCGGGTCAGGCAGTGGCTACACGGGGACCCCTCACCCGCTGCTACCACGCAGCTCCTCTGGGGTGGCGTGCCAGAGCTGGGTATATGGGCCCCCCCTGGCTCGGGGTGCAAGGGCAGGGTACACGGGGACCCCTCACCCGGTGCAGGGATGTGGCTCCCATGGGGTGGGGCATGGGGCTGGGTATATAGAATCGTAGGACTGGAAGGGACCTCGAGAGGTTGTCTAGTCCAGTCCCCTACACTCACGGCAGGACTAAATATTATCTAGACCGTCCCTGACAGGGGTTTGTCCAACCTGCTCTTAAAAATCCCCAATGACGGAGATTTTACCACCTCCCTCAGCAATTTATTCCAGCGCTTCACCGCCGACAGTCAGGACGTTTTTCCTAATGTCCAACCTAAACCGGCCTTGCTGCAATTTAAGCCCATTGCTTCTTGTCCGATCCTCAGAGGTTAACGAGAACAATTTTCTCCCTCCTCCTTGTAACAACCTTTTCTGTACTTGCAAACTGTTCTCACGTCCCCTCTCCGGCTTCTCTTCTCCACACTAAACAAACCCTGTTTTTTCAATCTTCCCCCATAGCTCATGTTCATCATTTTTGTTGCCCTTCTCTGGACTTTCTCCAACTTGTCCACATCTTTCCTGAAATGTGGCGCCCAGAACCGGACACAATACTCCAGCTGAGGCTAATCAGCGCGGAGCAGAGTGGAAGAATCACTTCTCGTGTCTGGCTTACAACGCTCCTGCTGATACAGCCCAGAATGATGTTTGGTTTTTTGCGCGTTACCCTGTTGACTCCTATTTAGCTTGTGATCCAGGATGACCCCCAGATCCCTTTCCGCAGGACTCCTTCCTAGGCCATCACTTCCCATTGTGTGTGTGCGACTGATGGTTGCTTCCGAAGTGGGGTACTTTGCATTTGTCCTGATTGAATTTCATCCTATTTACTTCAGACCATTTCTCCAGTTCGTTCAGATCATTTTGAATTTTAATCCTGTCCTCCAAAGCACTTGCAGCCCCTCCCAGTTTGGTATCGTCCGCAAACTTTACCAGTGTCCTCTCTGTGCCATTATCTAAATCATTGCTGAAGATATTGAACAGAACCAGACCCAGAACCGATCCCTGCGGGACCCCACTCGTTACGTCCTTCCAGCAGGACTGTGAACCCCTGATAACCACCCTCTGGGAATGATTTTCCAATCAGTTTTGCACCCACTTTATAGTAGCTCCATCTAGGTTGTATTTCCCTAGTTTGTTTATGAGAAGGTCACGTGAGACAGTATCAAAAGCCTTACTAAAGTCAAGATTTACCGCGTCTACCGCTTCCCCCATCCACAAGGCTTGTTACCCTGTCAAAGAAAGCTATCATGGTGGTTTGACACGATTTGTTCTTGACAAATCCACGCTGACTGTTACTTATCACCTCATTATCTTCTAGGTGTTTGCAAATTGATTGCTTAATTATTTGTTCTATTGTCTTTCCGGGGACAGAAGTTAAGATGACTGGTCTGTAATTCCCTGGATTGTCCTTATACCCCTTTTTATAGATGGGCACTAGATTTGCCCTTTTCCAGTCTTCTGGAATGTCTCCCGTCTTCCATGACTTCTCAGAGATAATCGCTCCGATATCTCCTCAGTCAGCTCCCGGAGTATTCTAGGATGCATTTCACCAGGCCTGGTGATTTGAAGACATCTAACTTGGCTGCACTTGCGAGTTACAGCGCAATAAAGCAGCCCCGGGCGCCCTAGCTCACTCCCCATCCACGCTGGCAAGGCACGTAGAGCGTTCTGACTCCGCGGCTACAGCACTGCTGGTACTCCACCTCGGCGAGTGGAATAACGTTTGCTGCGCCCCTGCTGGAGCGCCGCAGTGCCAGTGTGAACGGGGTGTTGCATTACTGCGCTGTGATCGGCCTCTGGAAACGTCCCATAATCCCCTTAAGTCAAGTGGCCACTCTTGTCATTGTTGTGAAATCGGGTGCAGGAATGCGGAAATGCCCTTTCAAAGCGCCGTTTCGGAGAAGCCGGCTGCTTATCAGCCCCGAGAAAAAGCAGCCGTTTCCTGTTTGCTTTGAGTGAGTGAGAGAGAGGCGGGGCGGGGGGTGAGGGGGGTCTGAACTTGCAAGACAGCATGCTGACACACTCAGCATCCCAAAAACCCACTCTCTCTCCCCCCACATACACACAACACACTCCCTGTCACACTCCACCTCACCCCCACCCCATTTGAAAAGCACATTGCAGTCACTTGCATGCTGGGATAGCTGCCCATAATGCACCGCTCCCAATGCCGCAAACGTGGCCACGCCAGTGCGCTGTCAGCTGTCAGTGTGGACAGACTGCAGCGCTTTCCCTACTGCGCTCTCCGAAGGCGGGTTTAACTCAAAGCGCTCTACATCTGCAAGCGTAGCCATGCCCTGAGTCATTGTTGACTTGTTCTTTCCCTATTTTAGAGTCTGATCCTACCTCATGCGCTACGTTAGACGTCCAATCGCCACCAACCTTCTTAGTGAAAACCGAAACAAAGAAGTCATTAAGCACGTCTGCCATTTCCGTTTTCGGTTATCGTCTTTCACCCCTCGTTGAGTAACGGGCCTACCCTGTCCTTGGGCTTCCTCTTGCGTCTAATGGATTTGTAAAATGTTCTCGTTACCCTTTATGTCTCTAGCTAGTCTGATCTCGGTTTGTGCCTCGGCCTTTTGAATTTTGTCCCTACACACTTATTTGTTTATATTCATCCTTTGTAATTTGACTGAGTTTCCACTTTTTGTAGGACTCTTTTTTGAGTTTTAGATCATGGACAATCTCCTGGTTAAGCCGGGGTGGTCTCTCGCCAGACTTCCTGTCTTTCCGACGCAGGGGGATAGTTTGCTCTTGTGCCCTTAATAACGTCTCCTTGAAAAACTGCCAACTGTCTTCAATTGTTTTTCCCCTTCGACTTGCTTCCCATGGGATTTTACCTACCAACTCCCTGAGTTTGCTACAGTCTGCCTTCTTGAAATCCCAGGTCGGGGCACCGGGGCTGGGTACACGGGGCCCCCTCCCGGGTCGGGGCGCGGGGCACACGGGGACCCTCCCCCGTCCCTGGGCACCTTGTTCATCTCGTCCTCCAGCCGGCAGTCGGTGACACCGTGTCCCTGCAGTGCGGTGCCCAGCTCGGGGGGCAGCCTGTGGTACCAGGCGCTGTACTGCGGTGGGGACAGTGCCGCCAGGTCCAGGGTGGGCAGCTCCAGGGTGGGCAGGGCCCCGGTCCCCAGCAGCTGGGCCAGCATCTCCATGTTCCTGGGGACGGACGGAGGGGAGAGGCCGGGTCAGCGTGTGCCGGGCGCAGGAGAGGGGTGACGGGCGCGGGAGATGGGGGACGGCTCACCTTGCCACGCAGGCCCTGGCGACGGTGGTGGCCCGGAAGCCCAGCACAGCGAAGACGACCAGCGTGGCCAGCAGCGAGGTGAGGAAGTTGATGCCGGCCACCAGCAGCCCGTCAGCGTGGCAGTCGTTGTGCCGTGGGTTGTAGCTGGAGTAGGCGATGACGCTCCCGAAGCCCAGCCCCAGCGAGAAGAAGACCTGGGTGGCCGCCTGGCGCCAGACCTGCATGTCGCCCCAGACTGCCAGCTGCGGGCAGCCGGGCGTGAGTCACGGGGACGGGCACCTGCAGCCCCGGGTGGGGGTCCCGGCGCTCCAGCCCCGGGGAGAGTGGGGGGCTGATCCTGGTGCTCCAGCCCCGGAGGGGAGTGGGGGGGCTCGATCTGGCTGGGGAGGGGGGCTGGCACTCGTGCCAGGGGATTCCAGCCAGGGGGACCTGATCCGGCCCGGGGAGGCTGGGGCTTGTGCCGGGGGGGGGATCTGGCTGGGGATGGGGGGCCTGGTGCTCATGCTGGGAGTGCCTGATCCAACCGGGG